GATTTAGATATATATTTTTTTTACTTATTTAGAAGTTAGATTATATGATTGTTGAATAGTATGCCTTAAAACAATTTGAGAAAACTGCAGTTATGAAGTCCTGGATTTTTATACTTATAATAGATAAATTAACACATTTCAGTGTGGATGTGTTTTAAAGGAACATTGTGTAACAATTTCTCTGTTTCACTGCCTGAAATTGATGATTGCATTTACATGTGTAATTGTTGGTGTATTATTACCTCCAATAATGATCCGGTACATTTTCATTAGCGAATACCTTTATGTTAGTTTATACATGAGGCTGGTCACCCGTTTGCAAAGCTCCATGAAAGTCTGCCATCTTGAAAGTACAGATGCCGACAAGGGATAAAATAGCATTAACGCAGAGAGTAGCAACGTGTTTCCCCTCGCTTGCAGTTCAGTGTGATTGAGAGGCGGCGGTGAAGATCATTTGGAGACAATAATCCAACTGCTGAATCACTGCACTTCTGCAGCACAATACAGGACGTCAGGGGTGTGCAGCTGTCTTCTGTAAATCTAAGCAACTTCTCTGATCTCAGTCGGATTACAATTTCTATCAAAAACCGTTGTCATGTCTCATGGTTATTCAATACATATAAGTTATGTAGTGTTATTTAAAGAGTTTTTCCCAAGTGATCTCTTTTCAGGAAAAAGATCAGGCGAAAGAAAGCTCCAAGGTGTAGACACAGACAGGCTATCTTTAACAATTGTTAAAAAAAAAAATCATATATTCTGATTTCAGGATTTCTCTTTTGTAGATTATGTCTCTCACAGTGGAAATGCACCTCTGATGACAATTTCAGACTCCTGCATGATATCTAAGTGGGAGAATAGCAAAATAGCAGGATGTTCAAATGCTTATTTTCCTCACTGTATATTTACTCCTGAATTACATTTGTCTAAGAGAAAATAAAAACTGGGTGCATGACCAGAGACTTTCACAATTTTATAATCATAAGTTCATTTCAAAGTAGAGTTGGGCTGCAACAAACGATTATTTTGCAAATCAAGCCCCAGTGTGATTTACCCCCATATAGTACTGTGCTAAATTCAATACCAATGACCAAGAAGCACGCTCTGATGCCTCGCCATTGCAGGCGTTATGAACACAGTGGAAGCCGCCAACTCTAATACATTTTGCTCACTTCAACTGTCCCATCAGGTGATAAGATGCAGAATGATAGAAAAATGCATTTTTTTATTTGTGCCAGTAACTTACAAGTATGTCCTCCATCTGTGACTTCGGTGAAGAATAAGAGCAATTAATAACTGATACCGGTACAATGGAGCATGCTACTCTAGGATGCCAAACAAATTAACCATTTCTGCTGGGAGGACAGAGTAGTTGCTGGAGTGCACTGCCCTGTTTCTAACATGATAGTAAAATAAACCTCACTTTTACATTGTATTATCCTGCAGCATCTGCATCAGTTTCTAAGCCCTGCTCCCTCATGAATTGGATCTATCTGTATTAGGTTATGCTAATGTAGCTTCTTGTTTTTGCCCAGTTACTACTTCTCTTTCTTTTCTTGTTAATTTCCCTTCCCTCTCTCTGGGCACAGAGTATGGCTGGTCCTCCATTTCAATACATAATGGTGAATGGAAAAATCTGCAGTGTTCTTTGATCTTTGTTCTCTACAGACAACAGCTTTTCACATGTAGTCTATAAGTAAAATGCATAAGGCTAACAAGTTTGTCCCCTTTCGGCCACTGCAATCAAAATGGTGACACCACATTGCTTCTTGCAATACATGCACAGCCTCCTATGTACAGGTGCTGGTCATAAAATTAGAATATCATGAAAAAGTTGATTGATTTCAGTAATTCCATTTAAAAAGTGAAACTTGTATATTATATTCATACATTACATACAAACTCATATATTTCAGATGTTTATTTTGTTTAATTTTGATGATTACAAATGACAACAAATGAAAATCTCAAATTCATCATATCAGAAAATTAGAATAGTGTGAAAAGGTTCAAAATTGATGGCCCCTGGTGCCACACTCTAATCAGCTAATTAACTCAAACCACCTGCAAAAGCCTTTAAATGGTCTTTCAGTCTAGTTCTATAGGCTACACAATCATGGGGAAGACTGCTGACTTGACAGTTGTCCAAAAGACGACCATCGACACCTTGCACAAGGAGGGCAAGACACAAAAGGTCATCGCTAAAGAGGCTGGCTGTTCACAGAGCTCAGTGTCCAAGCACATTAATAGAGAGGCGAAGGGAAGGAAAAGATGTGGTCGAAAAAAGTGTACAAGCAAGAGAGATAACCGCACCCTGGAGAGGATTGTGAAACAAAACCCCTTCAAAAATGTGGGGGAGATTCACAAAGAGTGGACTGCAGCTGGAGTGAGTGCTTCAAGAACCACCACACACAGACGTATGAAAGACATGGGTTTCTGCTGTCGCATTCCTTGTGTCAAGCCACTCTTGAACCACAGACAGCGTCAGAAGCGTCTTGCCTGGGCTAAAGAGAAACAGGACTGGACTGCTGGTGAGTAGTCCAAAGTCATGTTCTCTGATGAAAGTAAATTTTGCATTTCCTTTGGAAATCAAGGTCCCAGAGTCTGGAGGAAAAGAAGAGAGGCACTTCATCCACGTTGCTTGAAGTCCAGTGTAAAGTTTCCACAGTCAGTGATGGTTTGGGGTGCCATGTCATCTGCTGGTGTTGGTCCATTGTGTTTTCTGAGGTCCAGGGTCAACGCAGCCACATACCAGGAAGTTTTAGAGCACTTCATGCTTCCTGCAGCTGACCAACTTTTTGGAGATGCAGATTTCATTTTCCAACAGGACTTGGCACCTGCACACAGTGCCAAAGCTACCAGTACCTGGTTGAAGGACCATGGTATCCCTGTTCTTAATTGGCCAGCAAACTCTCCTGACCTTAACCCCATAGAAAATCTATGGGGTATTGTGAAGAAGAAGATGCAATACACCAGACCCAACAATTCAGAAGAGCTAAAAGCCACTATTAGAGCAACCTGGGCTATCATAACACCTGAGCAGTGCCACAGACTGATCGACTCCATGCCACGCCGCATTGCTGCAGTAATACAGGCCAAAGGAGGCCCAACTAAATACTGAGTGCTGTACATGCTCATACTTTTCATGTTCATACTTTTCAGTTGGCCAACATTTCTATAAATCCTTTGTTTTTATTGGTCTTCAGTAATATTCTAATTTTCTGATATGATGAATTTGAGATTTTCATTTTTTGTCATTTGTAATCATCAAAATTAAACAAAATAAACATCTGAAATATATGAGTTTGTATGTAATGTATGAATATAATATACAAGTTTCACTTTTTAAATGGAATTACTGAAATCAATCTACTTTTTCATGATATTCTAATTTTATGACCAGCACCTGTATTTATCAACATGCAATTGTTATTAGAGTTTAGCAGAGTATGTAAATATGAAAGAAATGTTTGACTTTTGATAGTAAAATTAGTAACACACTCTCCCTTTAAACACACCGCATGTCACCCGTAATCTGTAAACATTGAAACAACCAATTTCAGGATAGGAACTTAACATAAAATAACAAATACATTTTCCCCTGATATTGGGAAAATATTAAAAGTAGATAACATTTAAGAACAACAGCCGTTCTAGCAGTTAAAATGACATATTAGTGCATAATAGTCAACAAGCCATCATTAGGAGGCAGAGGTGTCAAGTAACGAAGTACAAATACTTCGTTAATGTACTTAAGTACACTTTTTTGGTATATATACTTTACTCCATTACATTTCTACTCATTACATTTTCACACAAGTATCTGTACTTTCTATTCCTTACATTTTTCAAACAAACCTTACTCGTTACTCTTGGCTTCGGTTTAATGTTTATAAATATTAATTTCACGTCATGTGCGTCATCCAATGCAGGTCATTAGTGCCATCCATATCTAGTGAAAACTAGTGTAATTGGATGAGTCATATAACGCAAACACTCATTGGTTAGCCAAAGGAAATCATCAGAAGCAAGCAGGTGTTCTTCAAACTGCAAACGTGAATTGTCTATGCCATGCTACAATGTCGGATTCAGAAAAAGATGTTGAAATGTCTGAAAGGTCGGACACAGGCGAGAGCGTATTGGGACACGGAGACCAACAAGACCTCCCTCATCCTTGGCCCCATCTCAAAGAATTATTCGAAATAGTCAAATAATTGAGCTTTCAGTTCATATAGTAGCATCTGGCTGTTTTTTTTAAAGGTTACTTCATACTTTTATACTATAAGTAGTTTCTGGAGCACATACTTTTTCACTTTTACTTGAGTAAAAAGGTCAAGTTGATACTTCAACTTTTACCAGAGTATTTTTTAATCTGCAGTATCTATACTTCTACTTAAGTAAAAAACGTGTGTACTTTTGACACCACTGTTGGGCGGAAAAACAAGACTGATTTGATTTCACATCCTGGTTTCTTTTTCTTAAGCTGAAAAAAACATTTCATCAGTTCAACCCAGTGTTTCCTAGATACAGCGTCCCCAGGGATCACTCCGCATCATCTTCTAGTATTCAATCCAACCCCTTCAGTGGTCTGTCAGTTTGTGAGTGTATCAGAAATGACGTCACATGGTGCACAGCAGAGGAGTATAGTTTTAAAGTACAATAGATTTATTATCAATCTGAATAAATCACTCTTTTACTTCTCACACAAAATATATAGTTCTCACAGAGGCTCTTCGTGTGTATTTCAGATAGCACTATATGAGGATTTATTAAGTCATTCAGTGTCTATAGAGCAAATTTTCTGCACAATATTTCACAATATACAAGCAATAGAGGGACAAATCTAACAAATCCCTATATAATTTATTCCTAAATATATAATTATTACTATTGATACAGAATAATAGGATTTTTAAATAGAGGCTATATTTATCCCAGTTTAGTATATTTCACATTCATTATTCACAGAGATGTTCACGCACTGAAGAAAAAATGTGAAATCGATGTGATATGTTGCAATTATTACAATCTGTGACGTTTTGTTTTTTTTGTCAGGGTCCGAGATCCAAAGTCACAACAACACCCATGCACACCAACATCTGACCATGTGATGCTGATGAATATATATACTAGACTAGCTTCTTTTCATCACAGAGGAGAAATGTAAGTTCACTTTCAAAAAGTCTACACAGATCCAGTAACAACACTTCAACTGGGGTACAGAATCTGTACAGTATGATGAGATTTACAGGAAATAAATGTTATGTTTTTCTTAGACAGAACATTTAAGAGTTGAGACCTGCAGCATTGAAGAGGTTTTATTTCTCACAGCGAAAACAATACTAGTACCCTGATTCCAGCTTGTCAGGACTATTCTTAGCTTTCATTTTACCAACAATGTCTTGTTAAAGTATTTCTATGTTCTCACATTTTGCTGTTTTACAACTACAATCTTTAATCTTTTTTACTGGGACATCATGTAATAACCCAACAAATTGTAGCACAACATTTGAAATGAAAGAAAAACAGAAAAACAATGATGAAAATGTGTAACAGTAATAAACTGAAAAGTGTTGTATATCTTTGTATTACATACGCCATTCAGGAAAGTATCATCTGAGTGGCCCAATGCAAAAACAGAGAAATGGCTGTCAGCCTAAATAAACAGGCTAGGGGGGCATGGTGACTCTGGCTGAGCTGCACTGATCAATAGCTCAGGTGGGATAATTTCATGAAAGGACAACTATTAGTTGTGCAAACGAAGTAGTTTTTAATGATACAGTAAGGCATTTTTTTATAAAATAATTTGAATGTTCATTTTCCATTCTTTTTTCTCAGTAGTGTACTACTTTGTGTTAGTCTATTACATTCAGTCCCAATACAATCCATTTAAGTTTGAGTTGTTTTACCAAATAGGGGTTAAATACCACTGAAGCAGTGGATGTTGGAATATTAAAGTGTTTAGCACTGTCAGCAAAACAAACAATAAGAATAGAGTCAGCACTACCATTATCCTTTTTCACACACAAATTCTGACAGACAAACAGTAGGTGCAGTCCCTCAACTGTTTTTAGTCGCTGAGAGCCCAGTTGGTAAATTTCACATGAGATTACATACACATCTCATTAGTGGCCTTTAAACCAAATGTTCAGAAAAAACAACACCGCATAGAGAACCATGGATTCATTTTCAGAAATCGCACAGTAGGAACACTGATCCAAGCACCCCACCTCCATTTCCCTTAGTAACTAGAAAGGTAATCAGAGCAATGTTCCAACTCTGGAATCACAGAATAAGAAAGGAGCTCGCACAATATTCACTATACAGTATTGTAAGATGTTGAAACGAGAGGGGAGAGATGTTTGCGATGAGTAGGTAGAGAAGACCGGCGCTCCGAGATGGATGAGGAGAAGAGGAAAGGAGGAGGTGTAGGTCTTTACTGAGGAAGCGCTTTCAGAATGGCATTCACCTCCTCTGCCACGGCTGTCAGAGCAAACTCAAACTGCTCCTAAGGAGAAGAAAAAAAAGAGGATAAAGTGTTAGTTTGTGTCCAGCTTGGTAGCATGTTTTGAATCCCATTTAGAAATGACTGGCAGCTGTTGCCTCCTCCACCTCCTCCTTTCCTCCCTCCATATCGTCTGACCCCGGCTGTGCCTGGCCACCGTCTCGAGCTGAATCGCTTCGTGAGCTTTCAACCTGAAGCACAGCACAGCCAGCACCAATATCGATCCAACCAGGTGTCTTAAAATGCAGCTTTGTGAGTCAAACTGTCTCTCAGCATTTTTTTATTTTTATTTTATTTTTTGCGCTGTGTTTTATTGTGAAACCAGTGCATGATTTTCCCAGAGGAACTGATTGATGTCTGCCCTGTGGACCTGCCGCTTTTATATTCCTATCCTCTCCCCAGGCTGCAGGCCACAGGGTCTCTTACAGAGAAAAGGGTATGTAGGAGGTTTGGAGGGAACAGTCCTCAGATGTGTCAACACACAGCCTGCTACGGTGTGGCCCGAGGATAGGCTGAATCAATACAGAGAAGCCACCAGTGGCTGAGATTATGTGAAGTGTCTATTTTCGCGTGTCTTCTGAAGTTGTGATAGGTCTGGAAAACTGTAAGTACATCCAGATTTATTGCTAACTCAGGTAGATTCTCAGTTTGAGTTCAAAGTTTTAAAATAGATTTAAAATCCCCCTCCTTCACTGTTCCAGTTTAAACCACTGGGGGGAGATCAATCTCTCTCCATAGATGGGAAACTGATGCAAGAGAGAAAGTTACTACAGTACATATAGACATCTGTCAAAAGGAGCCAAAGCATACAAAGGATAATCTTTTCCTTGAAGATTTTTTTTTTAGCAAAAGTGCTAAAAGGCGTCAAAGGTGGAGAGGAGAGATTCAAAAGTGAAAGGATTAATAAGCAATACAATATAATGATTGCAAATATTTTCAAATGGAAACCAAAATGAGAAAGAGTTTAATTTCAATAGTTTTAAAAATTGCTAAAGATGGTAAAGACTCAGCTAATGAACAGCTCTATAGTAAGCTATGAGTAATTGATTATTAGAAAAGCCCATGTGAAGCTGACAGCAAGAAGCTTCTGCAAAGTCCCACTTTGAAATAGGAAAAGATGAAAAGGTGATCTTCTCGGCAATGAAGATAATGGCATAAAGACAAATTGGAAAAACTTTTTACGGGCTAATTAAAGTAGTATTGTTCTTTCTGAGTCAAATCAATTAGTCAAATAACTCCTAAACAATTAATTTGTGTAAAATATAGCTTAATTAAGTAATTCAAGTACATTGTATGCATAGTTGGTCGGGCATCACAATTTGGGTATAGGGGATAGGGGGAGCCTAATCTCTAGACCTTAATCCAAAGGAAAATGTTTGGGGAGATGGCAATCATACTGCTTCTGAGACAAAACAAGAAGTGCAGATGAACTGTGAAATGTAGTGTAATGGTAATACCTGTTTAAAGGTATCAGAAACGGGACAACAGTGGTTATATAACTAAACAATTCACAGGACAGCTAAAAGCACATTTAGAAAATTTTCATTCACACGAGTTTGTTATGAAAAAAGCATCAGGGGAGTGTTGGCCTCGTGGTTTAGAGCAGTGTGCTTGTGCTCTGAGAAGGTTGCAAGTACCGATCACTACAGCCTGCACTCTGAGTCCCTGAGAAAGACCCTTAACCCCAAACTGCTCCCAAATGGATGGTTTAAATGCAAAAGTAAAGTTCTCCAATTTGAGATTGATAAAGTTCAATTATTATTATTTTTTAATTATTATTATTATATGGTATAGAGATACTGATTCTCTATTCTACAAGTATCTTAATAAAATTATTTACTTTATTTATTTCATCTGGCACTGATGCAGAGAGGTCAGACAATTGATTATTGACATTTTTGTATGACTGTTTACCATTTATTTAGAGGCTTGTTCACTTCTTGTTCAAATTTTCAGTCATCTGGTTAGTGGCAATCATTCACACAATAATAAAAGAAACACATGGAGCAGCACAGGACCCCTGAAGAGGTGCTGAAGCGTTTTCAGAAAAAATGAGCGAAACTCTGGTTTCCTTCGATTCAAGTGTTTTTTGGGTTTTTTTTTTTGGTCGGGTGGGGCAGTGGGTAGCACTGCTCCCTTGCAACAAGAAGGTTGCGGGTTTGATTCCTGTTAGATTTACATGTTCTCCCTGAGCATGTGTGGGTTCTCTCCGGGTACTCCCACAGTCTAAAAACATGACTTTTAGGTTAATTGGCTTCTCTAAATTCTCCTTAGGTGTGAGTGTTTGAGTGAATGGTTGTTTGTCCTGTTTGTCTCTGTGTTGCCCTGCGATGGACTGGCAACCTGTCCAGGGTGTACCCCGCCTCTCGCCCGTAGACAGCTGGAGATAGGCACCAGCACCCCTCGCGGTCGCCTCTTGGCGGTTTTCATCTTCTGTTCGTGGGGGCTGGAAGGCGTAGCACCAGAATAATAAAAGCGAACATATTTTGCTGGCAGGTTTTGACATTTTAAGATAATTTCAACGTTAATAAACTCTGCATCAGCCTAGCTGTGTCTGTCTCCCAGATCAGCTTCTCTGATTGGTTGATGTGGCACTTTGAGCAGCAAAAGTTCATTTTTTTCCAACTCCAGCAGCTGCTGCTTCTGAAGCTCGTCACACACGTCAGATGCTCAGAAGCTCATGACGCGCTGCTACTGCTGCTCCAAACACGCTGTGGGACCTTTTGCTGCGTGTCATCCATTGACTTTGCATGTAAACTAGCTGCTTCTGCTGCCTCTGCTGCTTGCGGCGTGAAAGTAGCATTATTTATGTACGTTTCCTTTTTTTTCCAAAAACCTAGTGGGCATGGCTCATCGTGTTGTGTGCTCTGTAGTCCATGAAACACAGTACTTAAAGTAATTAGGCATCATCGATAATCTGGACATTTCTTTTAAAACTAATATTAATACTGCAACTACAATTGTTGCTTTTCATTATAAATCTAAAGGTTCTGCAACTCATATGGTTGCCGGTCCTGCATTACAGAATTAGAGAGTGGAAGGAAATGAATCACTCCGAGTTCTTTCTATACACATGCTTGCAGTCAGGTCAGTTTGCCCACATCAGAATGAGATGACTGGAACAAATGTGTACTGTAGATGGACGCTGATCAAATAAGGATCAGCAATAACCACCCCTTTATATTACATTACAGTTTTATCACTATTTAGCTGTAATTGATCATAATAAATTACGTATTTGTATTCCATTTATGTCAATTTAAACATACTTTCTGAAAGACTCCCATGCTGATAAGGCATTTATACAGCAGCATAATAATAAGCCTTATGAAAGTTAAAACTAAAATGTTTACTTTTTAGAACTTTTTACTCCAAGTAAGGAAACAGTGTTTTACCCACTCACTATTGTTGTTTTATTTCGAATAGACTTTTTAATGACATTGGATAGAGTCACCTTTTATATACTGCTGAATATGTTTTATATTAGTTACAAATCTGTTTCTTTCAAAGCTTTTGTTAAGATTCTGCTAAATATATATATATATATTAATCTCAATATGACTTTCAATAAACTAATAAATATAATCAATAAACATTTAAAAAAAAAGCAAAAAACCTTAACTATGGTTTAAGCAGAAAATTAAGTTGACTCTACATGTTTTATTTCATTATAATCACATTTTTGTTTAGAGTCAGAATGAGGAAGCAAAGTAGAAGCAAGCATTTTCCACTGTAATTCTACTCAGTACTGTCAGAAAAGAAAATGGGAGTCTTTGAAAAAGCTTTTCCCTGCAAAGAACAGAGCAGAGCGCAGCTCTGAAAGCAGCATTAATAGACCGTTGAGGAACAGTGCAGTGTGTTAGGAAGCAGCTTGCATAAATATTATCACCCACTGCAGCGTCATTTTTATTATTATTATCCTCTCAAACTGAAAGAGCAAAACAAAAGGGGAAAGTCTTTGTGTTTGCATTGAGAATGAGGAAAAATGACTGTTATGATGTAAACTGTGAGAACAAATGTCTGTATAGGGAGTCATTTTCTTTGTCGGTTCATTTTATGGCAAGACTGGAACAAAAATATACAACATATTTAAGTAAAACTACCTAAATTATGTAAAGTATAAAAAGTGACATTTATTCTCAATTATTTTCAATATGTTTTGATTTTCTGTGTTTAATTTATTTATGGATTAAATTAGAATTCATACACATCTCTATGTTAAGGCTTATAACATTTCTTACACTTAAGGTATGGGATCTACTGTAATGTCTTGAAATGCAGATATTTTTTCATAATCTGATTTCCTTTCACATTCTTATCCAGACCAGAAAAATAAGATTCCTGACTCTTCCAGAAAAGCCTAAAAGCCCTTTGGATGCTTTTGTTGACAATTTTTGTCAGAAAATGCACTGTATGTAAACCATTTGGGCATCTAAAATCTCTTATTAAATGTTTTCATAAAAGATTGGTCAATGATTTATCAAAGTATTTCCCCATCAAAGTATTTACATTCTCAAGACATAACTGCGAATCTATTTCTACAAACAAATTAAATGTATTTAAATCGTATAACTGTGCAAATGATATTTCTCTCAAGTTTTGGGTTAATTTTCTTTGATCCCTTTAAAAAATCTGATGTTTCTGTCCTCCAAGCAATATTCTGTAATCCTGAAAGCAGTTATCAAGTAGAGCATCATCATTTCCTCTGATCCTGCATGGATGAAGCAGACAATCATCCCTCTGAAACGCCTCAAACCCCATCCCCCTCCCCATATTCCCTCCCCCTCCTTCCTCCCACTCCTCCAACTCAAGCTGGGGAACCTTACCTTTGTCTGGACCATGCCAGCTCTCTGGTCTCTCAAGTGCTCCAGGGTAGCGGCAATATCAATCTCTTTAGCACCTGCAACAGAGTGAGAATTGGACTGAGTTCAAAGCAGCGCAGTAATCCTGCTCACATCTGTCAATCTCTCTTTATACTTCGCTGCGCTCCCTTTGGAACAGTGCAGCGATTGAAAATTATTACATTCATCCCTGGAAAAAAAAAACAAACTTGGACAGAAGCCATGGACTGTTTCTTGACAAAATATGCAATAGGATGTATACATTTTTTGGTGACTGGGAAATATACACTACTCCCCAGCTTCAATCTGATAATTCAAATAGGATATCCAACATGCTAATTAAAACAATTCGCAGCAGCAAAGTCATTTTGAAGACTAACCTGTGCAACAGTTGCTTCACCTGTAATCAACTTCCCTGCAGACTGTTATGTTTGCATGGGAATATCTTACTGTTGCCAAAACTTATGGGTTGAAAGCAAGCCAGAGCTAATTTGAAAATAAGAGAGAGGTAGAAAATGCATCTTAAGTGCAAAGATGCTCTTGAAAGTGAGGCAGCAAAAGGAAGAAAACAACATCAGAGAGAATGAATTTATGCATCTATGTGAGAGAAAAAGAGAAAAGAAGCGGGGCTTAATGCACTCAGAGGTACTACAGCGCTCTGAAAAGACTTTTATGTCTCAGATGAGCTGGAATCCAAAGTTACATTGAAGAGAAGGCTCTCCGGCCAAAGGGGGGGAAAGAAAGAAAGGTTTTTTCGAGAGCCAGCTTATCTACATTTCATGCATTTCATACCAGATGCAGAAAACAAAAGGTTGAAAGAGGGCAGCGAGACAGCTCCTATCACCACAGGCAACGGCACATTTGTCACTGAGGTACTTGAATTGCACCAGGAAGGCTGAATCTTATTACTGTTTAACAGACAGCATAGCAAGGCCTCCTTTTAACCTGTTCTGACTGGGCTGGATCTCTAGAGGGTTAAGGGGTAAAGGGCAAAGATCAGGGGGCAAAGGGCAGACTAAGCCATGGAGGACAATGTCTTTGGAAACAATGGATGCTTATAACTTGAATTTCTCAACAAAACTTAGAAGACAAATTAAACAGTTTATTCATGCAGAATAAGCTGACCACAACTACTCTGCTATTTCTTCAGCTACTGATTCCAAGATTTTTTTTTTAGGAAAACCAGTTATAAATGTTTTCCATTACATCTCTGTAAAACATGATTTTTGTACTCTACAAGATCTAAAAAGTTCAAGAACACTATATATATATATATATATATATATATATATATATATATATATATATATATATATATATATATATATATATATATATATATATATATATATATATATATATATATATATATATATATATATATACATGATGCTGAAGAGGTACAGTGAAATAATAATATTACAGCATTCAAGGAATTGCTCATTAAATCAGCATTGGCAAAAAAATACTGTAAACTTTAAACCTACCAAGACCTAAAGGCTTTCTATTCTGGGGGTGTAGCAGACCTACACAACCATAATATGGGATAATGTGCTCAGAATCAGGGCAACTTTCAATTGTATGTGCCATAAATCTGGGGTTAATGGAACAGGGATCAGACAAAAGCCAGTGTTTAATAAAAGCCACACATGGGCACACATGGTAAAATAGTGGTAGGATGAAACAAGATTTGGACCTTTTAGGAAAAATCCCACACTCGAGAGGGACTTGTCATAGTTCATAGGCAGATCGATGGGGCTAAAAACAGGGCAGTCTTGGATGCTAAACCTCTAGCACGTCATAAGCCTTATACATACATTTAGAGTTAAAAGGGCCTGGTTTAGATAAAAGCATATTCATCTGTCCTAGTCAAAGTATAATGGAAAATTACTGTTCACGCTGATGCCTTCCATGCAATCTGACTGAGCAAGAGCTTGTTTATAAAAATAATCAGCTAAAAGAAGAGAAATGTGATATAGACATACCCACAAACACCCCCTAACTCTTACTAGAATCAAATCAAAAATACAAATACAGACTTGGTTGTGTTGGCTCATAACATAAAATACCAATAAAACACCTTGAATGTTTTGATTGCTAAATACGTTTGCAAAGCCCTACGATGGAGCTTGGTGTTTTTGGACCTTTTGGATGTGTCTCATCTTTCATACCTGAATTAAGTAGCCAGAACACAGTAAAATTTGCCAAATCCTATTAATGACCTGATTATTTGACTCAGGTGTCCTGAAGCAGAGAAAAATCTTAAAGGTACAGGACACCGGACCTGGAGGCCCATCATTGAGGAACCCTGCTATAGGAGATAACCCAATTCAAAGATGCACAACTCAACACTAATAACAAACCTTGAATATTTCCATCAATGCTAACTATGTTCAAAGTTAGAAACACAATTGCATGAATTGCAAAATAAAATTGTGAACACCAATCTTTTAAGAAAAATCAATAAGAAAATCAACAATCTTACATTAATTATTAAATATTGATTTGAACCAGTAGAGCACACAGCAATATAAAAACTATACAGTATATGAATTTTCCCCTTAAACATTTCATTTCCATGCATGTGCTATCTAAATTCATGTTGCAGCTGCCGTTGCAGGTCAATACAGTGTGAAGGTTGCTTAAATAGATAATTACGAATGTGGGTGGAGGTTTCTTTTTCATTTCCCTTCCCCGTCTTCCCTCTTTGTTCTGATCTCCCCACTCCCAGAGAAACCCCCCCTGTCTCGGCTGCCTCTCCAGGCCTCAGGAAAGTCACCCTCTAATGCATCCCCAAGACCCTCCGAAGAGAATGAGAGGCTTTGCCGTTGCCAAGGGTTTCAAACCAAGAGAGAGGGGGGGACAGAAAAGGGGAGCTATTGATCGTTACCTTTAGCCATCCTATTGAGGACCATGTCAATCAGCATGTAGGTCCCACTCCTGCCAGCTCCGTCACTGCAGAGTCACAAACAGAGAGGCATAGACTATTAAGGTTGCGGCGCAAGGTGCTTTAATCTCAGAGTGTTTTACTTACGATGAAACAAATTGCTCATTTACATTGGCATCTGCTGTGAGACTTTTGAGTATATTTAAACACAAATGAGTGCGTGCATCCAGATGAACACTTCCTTATTTGCATAAAACATGATTTTAGATGTGAAGCCGAAAAAAAATAAAATGAATGTAAATCCTTTTCTTATGAGAAATACTCAAAGCGATCGAAGTATTTCCAATAAATGTAATTACGTTAAACCTTTGCACATGAATGCATGTGTGGTCTTAAGAGAGGCTGTCGGAGAGTGAGAGAGAGAGAGAGAGAGAGAGAGAGGGAGAAAGAGAGAGCGAGAAGGAATGGTTTTCTAAGGCACGCTGGGGACAAAAGCTTTTAAATGCATGCACCTCAGGAGCAGAGGAGAGGTTGAGAGGCCAGGGGCAGTTCGAGAACAGCTTTTGGAGAGCCTTGCTTTTCCATTACTCCAGAGATAGCCCCATGAAAAGCCTCCCTTTGTGCCCGCCGGCCATTCAGCAGCTCTGCATGTTAATTGCAAACAAGGCGTGGACATCTCTCTAATAAAGGCAAGGCCAATAAAACAGGAGAGCTGCCTGAGCGCCACTGCTTCATTAATCCAGTGCTAGACGCTCCACTCCTTAGAGAGGGAGAGTGCAGGCTTACTGGCCCCATGCATGACTTAACAGGATGTGACTATCAAAAGTGGTCTGACACATACTTGGGTGTTTAATACAAGCCAATCAAAGCTGGTTAACCAGCTCAACCAGATGGGAAATGGAAAAGTCTCTCTTTAAAAAAAAACATTATTTACAGAAGAAGCAGGGCGTAGAATAAACAGCAGTGGACCCAGATTAAATATGAAAAATACAACTGTAACGCACACACATGTACTTGCCTGCAGTGAACAATTATCGGGCAAGATCGGCCACGGTAGCACTTGTTAACCTTTCTGGAATAAAGCAAAAGAGAAAAGCCATTTTACTTCAAGATAGGTGGCACAATATCAAATTTAGGGCACTGAAATAGCAATAATCACAGCAAATGTGACTCACAAGAGATTTCTGCACTGTGAGCTGGATGAAAAAAACTGATCAATAAATCAAAGCAGCAAACATAAATCTGAGATGCCTCCTCCTGTCAGTCAGTCAGTAACTAAATCCGTCATCCGTTAGGTAACAATGAATCTCTCTCTGACGTGTGGGTGATGGACTTGGTAGTGTGATGTTGTGATTGCGGTCCGCCAACGCGTTAACCTCAGCCAATTATAAATGTTTTACACCATGGGCAATGGTGAAGGCCAACAAGCCTTTTCACACCCGTTGCTGCCATGGAAACTGACTACATCAAGGCCTCCCTCCAGCGCCGCTTTGCTTTCTTTCACTTTTCTATAGAAAATTGTAAAAAATGCTTTTTTTTTTTTATTTAAAGTCATGTTCATAATTTAAATATAATTTAAATTAAATTAAACATAAATTAAAAATAATTTTCGCAACAAAAAAACAAACTATACATTTGCTCAAATATGGATCATTCACCATGCACTGACATTAGTTTGATGTACCGTAAGAACAGTTTTTAAAAGTTAAATAACCACAACATAACATATGTTTTAAACTGAAAATCTGAATCCAGTTATCCATTTTCTTTGTGACTATTTGAAGCATAGTACAGTATTTTGACTAATTGCTTTAAAATGTCAGTCAGCTGCGTATTTAAGAGGACTTAAAGAGGGGAAGCTACATGAACTGTTCACCTTGGTTAGACAGGGGGAGGACAATGGGTAGGCTGGCTGTTAATTTTACAAATATGCTAAGTGTTGCTTTGACAAGAGTTGGCTTGTCTGTATGTACGATGAACAATCTTTTGCAATTTTAGGATTACACAGGTGTTAAAATACTGTAGCTAATGAGGTCTAACAGGTTAAAATTAACAGGTCAATTAGCCTTATTAATGCCAGTCAACCTGTAGTAAGCTGTTTATTTTACAAACATGCTCAATCTCATTTGTGCTAACCCAAATTAAGAGTAATCTAACTGGTAAAATAAAACCTGCAGGTTCATCTTTTCATCACACAGGATTAATTAGTTAACTTTGGGGTTATGAAGAGCCTGACGACTTCTATAAACTTGTTGATTAGCACCTGTATTCATAACAGCTTGCTTGCTTGTAGTTTAATTCTTGTTGATGTAGCAAGAGAATTAGACCTGTTGGTAAAAAAAAAAAGGTTTACTTTAAATTCACTATTGGCAATAATATTTCAATTAGCATCCCTCCAGTAATCGGGGAAGCATTGGAAGCTTAAAAGCTGGACAAGCTATTGCAAGATAGCTATTTAGATGCTTATTGCTGCTAATGAGCAAAGGCTGTTTGTTCTATTAGCAGAAGTGATAACATTTTATTATAAACTGTGAGAAGTTATGACTGCTATTTGTAAAATATCCTACTTGAGGCTTGCTAGAGGAGTATTATAAAGCTAATTAAGTAGCTAGAAAAAGTGCAAACCAACCTCATATTCTGTATAACACCCTTTGAATAAGTGGTAAATATATTCAATATAATCTCTCTATTTTAAATATCTATTGAATTATTAATTAAATCAGTAAATCTTTTAAATCATTTACTTAACAGAAATAAAATGTGATTTCTATTTTAATCCTCAACATTATACTCAAATTTCTACCCTAATTAGCAATAAATATGTAAAATAGTCACTGACAAAGTTATGCTTCTTTTCTCACTTTCTTTTTGAGCAAATGTGCATCATAATCAAAACAACCCATTTCATGAATATCATTATAGATATTGTACTGATTAATATTACAGCGGCATGTTTTATTACGTTGGCAGCTGTTAATTGTTCAAAAAGATAGAAAATTCAACATGCAATAAATGAAAAATATCTGTTTAAGACTTATTTCAATGCTGTAACACTGATCCTGACCTTAATCCAACTCTTTTGTAGTCTTTAGCTTTGCAGAAACATTTACAAATATATGGACTGTAGAGAAAAATTGGAATGGAAACCTGCAATGTAAATGCTGTGTGTGTTTTTTTTTAAGATCCCAGATGTAGTGTGCATTACTTTGTTTTTAATTAAACTTTTTAAACCACCAAAAGATTGTCACTAACCCTTTTGGATACTTTGATTTGCAAATTTATATTTAACACAACCTAGTAAGACATTGTATAAAAATAGCTGGAGTTCCCATGCAAGCCATAGAGCAGAGCAAGTAAGAGGAGGGGATGGGAAAAAGAGAGTCAGGAGTGAAAGAGAGACAGTGTGCACAGGCCTGGCTGAGGAGACACAGTTTCCAATGATCACTTTTGTGACTATGCAACTGGGCTCATATTACTAGCTGCAACATCACAAAAATGACACTGGCCACCGCAAAAAAACCAAGAAGGCCAAAAAACCACAAACACTGAGAGTGTTGAGTGCCTGGTATGGATCGAAGAGCTTTAAATAACCTACAGTGACATTTGCGAAGCTTAGTCAAAACAAACTGAATCTCAGCACAGCAAACAATCGGCAGGTAATTTAGGCAGTTCACACCGGAATGATTAATAAACACATAACTGAAATAAATTTGGAAAAATAGCACAAACCAGCTTAGAAAAGTGTGGTAACACCATGCAATCTTTCAGCGTACTCATTACTAAGGGGCAGACTTCCATCCACAAATCAGATGCATCTATTCTCATTTGGAGGGCTTTGCCTATCCCTCCTGGTTTTTCCCAGAGGAATACTCCTGCTCTTCTGCCAGAACACATTATATGGAGAACAGAGTGAGGTTATTTAGTCACTAGCTTTCCGCCCCGTCTCCTGTGTTTTGGTGAGACAGATCTCATTTAATTGGGCGTTTGAATTAGGTATTTTATTATTCTTTCTTTCTTTTTGTCCCAAGCCAAGCCAGGCAGTGCGGGGCCCTTAATTTGCTGCATCGCATGTGCTGGAGAGAGGTGAGGGAGATCGGCCTGGGATGAAGGGATGGGATAGAAACGGGATCCTATTCAGAAAAAAACAAAAAAAGCACTCTCTACAGGACAGAAAATAAGGCAGCAGGAGCAAAAATAAAAAATAAAGGAGCAGAGAGGCAGGATAAGGGAAAGTAATTAAAAAACAAGCAAGGGATGGAAGGTCAGTTGTGAAAACTGTCAGAAATCTTTCTAGGTTAAGCCGTAGGATCTTCTCTCTACCTGCGGAAGTCTAACAGGGTCCGGGCTGAGCTTGGGATGCCGCGGTCCATCCAAGACAGGAAGTGGAACTGGGTGACTGTGCGCGTCTCGTTGGTCTGCAGGTTTTTCAGGTAGAAACTCCTGACCAGGAAATCCTCACACCAGATATGCTCAGACACTAAATTGACCTAGATGTTGCCACAGGAAAACACAGGAGAACATAGAGAGGAATAAATATCTCACATATCTGCCCAAATTAGGGAAATTATAGTTATCTTAAACCTTAACAAGGGCTAAAGAGCAAAATTAAACAAGTTTGCTCTTGCTAGAAAAAGTCAATGCTGAATACTAAATACTGACTCATAATATTTTGAAGGAATTTTATTTGTTTTTCTTATAAAACATTTGAAGAAATGTTGCACAATTAAGGGCATCCTGCTGCACTCAAAGGCTGTGTTCCTTTGGCAACTAAATTAGAGTCATTTTGTGACAAAATGAGACGTAACTAAGTCAGAAAACAAAGAATGTGAGAATAATTATCTCACTTTGAATATGCATGCTTCAGTGCTGACTGAAAGAAAAACTTTAGGCTGTGCTTGTTTCCTGTTAAAACTGCAAATTCATAACTTTCATACATATAATTGTGTGAAGCAACACCTCTTCATAATTTCATTTATCCTTAATTATACAGCTATTTTAAAGTTTTTATTCTTAATCAGTTTATATTTTGAGACAAGAAATGAACAATGGCATACGTTGTCTAAATAAAAACTGTTTTCTGCTGCCTTAGAATTAAAAAATAATAATGTATTTATGGTATACTTATATTTTTAAAAAGTGAATCTAATTATATAGACAAAAGCAAAATAATGTATTTCAGGCAATTATTCCTATAAATTTTTTAGTGATGATTAAAGCAAACATCACGTATTATCACATTCATTAAAGAAACAAAAAAAGCCAAAATGAAATTTGTTTTGGAACAGTTATATGTAATGGCCATGCTATGGTCTGTACAATTATGACACCGGTCAAGGGGGGTTTAAGGTACAATAAGTCATTGCTAAAGAAGCTATCGGTGAAAAGAGTGCTATAGTAAAGCTTTTTAATGGAAAACTATAAGAGGTAGAAAAAATTGCAGTTAAAAAAAGAAAATGGTGCCATTAGTCCTCCATCGTCAACCACATTTTTTTTGGAAAAGTCACTCATATCAGAAGTATTATCTCTCCGTCTGCTCCCTGTTCCAGATTGGCTGTTATTTTACATCAACCAGGTTCCAGACTAGTTGACCCAGATAAAGTATGTTCCCCATTGAGACATTTTCCCTGCAACCTTGTTTAAAGATGTTTTAAGATGGTCATTTTCCCTCTATATTTCCTATAGATAATGCATTGCCTGGGATGGACTGGCGAGCTGTCCAGGATGTACCCCGCCTTTCACCCGTAGACAGCTGGAGATAACCAGCACCCCTCGCGACCCCATTTGGCATAAAGCGTGTCAGAAAATGGATGGATAATGCATCACTGGGGTCAGTTTCAAGTCCCCGTTTAGCTCAATATAAATGCTGCCTAAACTGGAATATTATTTCCTGGGAAGCTATAGAAGTGTCTGTGAATAACTATTTGTCACCAAGATTCTCAAGATAATAGCTTAGCAGCTAACAGCTTTACTAAAAGGAGCATTATCAATTCATATCATTAAGGATTCCATACAGATATAACTGAAAAAGCTCAGATTGGAGCCTAATAATGTTCTGGTGAAAGTGGAAAATGATAGGGTATTGCACTAGCAGATCTGGCTTGATAGGTAGACACGTGTTTCAGGATATATATATTTTACAATGACTTTCTCCATGTCTAAAATGAAAGGTCAAGCAGATTCCGAAACAGCTTCTTCCCCACGGCTATCGGACAGCTGAAATGTTGAGAAAACTCTAAACCATGTCACAGACTCTGCATCACACTGACAACACCAAACTAAAACACTGCATATTTGCACCATATATATATATATATATATATATATATATATATATATATATATATATATATATATATATATATATATATATATATATATATATATATATATATATATATATATATATATATATATATATATATGTATATATGTATATATAATGCTCTGAACTTCCATATCAATGCATTTTTTTTGCTCCATGTTTCTTCTCCCACACTGTTTACATTTGATCACCGCTGCACTTTAAGAAATGGAAATGTCACAATACGAAATTGGTATCCAAAGTTTATTGACAATAAATGTTGTCAAAGTCTAAGTTAAGCTCTTCATTAGGTTTACTTCATTATGGTGTGCCAATTGGTTCTGTGTTGTGGTCATTACATCTTTTGCACTTCTTCACAACTCTGGATATTTTGAGCACTTTTAATATCCCCTTATATCACTGCAATGCTATGTAGTTATAAAATGTTCTTTGTTATGAAGTCTCTACACTGCATGTCTTTCATTGGGGCTCTGGCAGTTGGAAGTTTAAATTACACAGTTTTATTTACCCCAAACAAACATATACTTTCAGTAAAAATAACCTCTTGGTGTTTTAGCATCAAGTCCTCCCCAAGAAACCTTGGGTTAATTTCAACATAAGATTCTAATTTCTCAGAAATAATCTTGACCTACATTAATCCATATGCAATGAAACAGTGTTATATGCAGTACATATTTTTAAATTTACCTACTGAGATACATCAATGTTTGGATAATATTCTCATTTTATGAATAGAACCGGTAAGCTTTAGAAACTAGATTCAACTTTCAGTGAAAACTGGTCAAAGCTTCTGCTTTTCACCAGCATCATACAAGTTTTTCCTCTGGTTTCCAGATCCGCTAAGGAATCATTTGGAGTGTTTTTAAAAATGTCCAGACATTTAAATGTTTGTTTCAGTTTAGAAAAATGACAAGTATTACAATATGGTATTTTTGTAAAACTCAAGAGTACTAAAATAAAGAACATAAACATTCGACTAATGCATTTTTCCAATTACCTCAGGCAAAGATTTTGGCAATTTCATGGGGTTACAAATCACTATGAGGTCCTGACAAAAATCTAACCAGGAAACTGATGCAAGTAAGTTGGATAGTATTTTGCAACAAACTAAATTTTATTGTTTTACTCAAGAAAGAGATTTCTTGAAGCCACAGCTCTGAAAATCGTACATTTATGATTATTTTTTTGTTTTGTTTTAGGTATGTGGACTATTCTTCAGCTGCTGCATACCTCATATATATGATAGATATCAGATCCCTCGTCGGGCCAGTAGTGGTGACATTGCTTCACGCCATTTTCAGACAGTGGGGTCAGCATGACAATGACGACACAGCCACTCTCCCAGACCATCTAGATATAAAAAAACAAAAAAACAAAAGAAAAGGAAAACACATCATTGCAAAACATATGTAGACAATTAGCCTTGTCGTATTCAAATTCAAACAGCACTAATAAGCACCTGAACTGGGCCACTAAGAGCAGCATATTGCACTTCCTCCTTGTATTACAGTGAAATTGATTTCTTTATCTCTGTGCAGGAGGTATGAATAAATGTCCCCTCTCTGCATGTGACAAATGGCAAATGTTGGGCGGAGAAGTGGGAGTGGGAGGGGGCACGTGTTGTCGCCCTCTCTATCGTCAGGAACGACATCACAACATCTTCTGCGCTGCCGCTCCATTTCATCTTATCGAGATCTAATGCGTCCTTGGAAAGACATAGAGGCCCACTGGCAGCCATTAGGAAAATGAGGAGGAAATGCAGGTTTTATGATTGCTATAAAAACACAATGGCCTTGACTATACACTAATCACAAGCTTCTGCGATACAGCCCATCGGACACATTACACGCCAACTGTGCCAAGATGTGATGAGATTTGGCAAGGTGATAATGTGAGGGAATATTGGGAACTTAGTCTTGTGCAATTTAGTTCATATTTGGATATAAAAGTGCAACAAATGAAATTACATCCCATCTCCACCTAAAGCAACCTTACAACCTTTTAAAAAAATGTAATTAAGAGTTTCTAAACTCCACGGACTATACATTAAGCAACTGACTTTTACTTGGTGAACTCATGCAGATTGGCTTCTCATGGTGAACTGAGGCAGGCATGAAGGCCCAGCAGTACTAAGGTAATAGAGAGGAGATGAATGGAGGAGTAAAGTTAAGGATGAACGGATGGCGGGATGAGGAGCAGAGGATTAGAGGCAAGCAGCCTTTCAGAGCACTGCCTAGGGCCCAGTGTGGATTCGATTGGAGAGTGCAAAAAGATTTGCCTCCTGCATGGTCTAGTTGCACAAGTGTGGCAATGTTTTTTGTGTCTGTTTACTTTAAATGGGGTAAAGAGTGTTGCTTCACACTAAATGGTGATATATCCAATATTTTAATTAAGCTGATGGTAATGTTTTGTTATTTTGCGCTAGATTGGGAAAAATTAAGAGAAGCAAAGCAAACAAGCAGATTAAGTCATATGATCCAATTAGTATATTTAAAAAAGCTATAATATCTACACTGTAAAAACGACAACTCAAAATTGTTCACCTTACTAAGATTTTTGCATTCACTGACAATAAAATTGTCAGTTGGAACTTGAACTGTCTTTTGTGAGCCAGTTGAACTCACTTTCATAAGTTTCTGATGAAAAGTTCATCTTATTCAATAAATTAAGTTGAGTTCACTTAGAAGTTGTAGTTGACACCCAGTCCGAGCGAGGTCAACTTATCTGCGCATGCTCATTTCAAATTTGTCATGGCAACCGGCTGCTACAGGGTTTCCATGGATTTTCCCAGGAGCTCCCTTCTAAAGTTTGGTTCAGCCATCTGGTCACTCGTCCAAGAGAAGACTAAGGCACTAGTTTCCTGTCATCTCTGGCAATATTGCATTATTTGTAAGGTTTTAACAGGAGTTGGAAAGTAAAAAAAATATGTGCTGAAACCTGATTTGCTTTAAGCATGAGATTACTTGTTTACATTGTGAAATTGTAAACCTGTTTTTGCCAAAGTGGTTCAAATAAAAATGCAAAATTTAACTGGATTACTGTCAGGGCTGCTCGGTGCGCAGTGGGTAGCACTGCTGCCTTGCAGCAAGAAGGTTCTGGGTTCGATTCCTGGCCTGGGGTTTTTCTACATGGAGTTTGCATGTTCTCCCTCAGCATGTGTGGGTTCTCTCTGGGTACTCTGGCCTCGTCCAAAAACATGACTGTTAGGTTGATTGGCTTCTCTAAATTGTTGAGTGTGTGCGTGAATGGTTGTTAGTCCTGTGTGTCTGGTGACCTGTCCAGGGTGTACCCTGCCCCACTTGGGACAAGCGTGTAAGAAAATGGATGGATGGTTTACTGTCAGTGGATGATTTAATGGGGGGGACTGAACTCAAAATGTAAGTTATTACAGGGGATGGTAATCTGTATTTAAAACATTTTACAGATAATCTGAACCTAAAATAATAAGTTTTTACAGACTTGAAAGTTCCAGTAACTTGAATTAAAAAAACTTAGTTGGCAGAACTTGAAAAGCTTAGCTGACACAACTTAATAAGTGTAGTTCTACAAAACTTAAAAAATTAAGTTGATGCCTTCAACTCAAAAATTCTGTGCAGCCGGTTGCCTTGAAATTTTGAGTTGAACTAACTTTTTCGTTTTTACAGTGTAGGTCACGTTTCTTAATAGTTATTATTATTTTCTGGAAACAAAAGCTATATGGTAGGGAAATTGGTAGCACTTTCGCCTTGCAGCAAGACGGTCAAGGGGTTGAACGTCATCTTAGTGCAATCTAAAACATGAGGTTCTACTGAATGCATAAGCACTGCGTTGCATCCTTGCCTTGCACTCAAAAAATAATTTAAAGCCCTCTTTGAGTTGACACAATTTCTTAAAATTCAACAAACTTTAAAGTAATTGGTTCCAGAATAACTTAGGAATATTAAATTGATGTGACACAATATGTATGAAGATTTTATGATGCAAAGTAACCTAACATTCTTGAGTTCTCTATAAGGCAGCTTTGTGAGATTACAAGGATGGTCTTTTAAGTGAACTTTCTTTAATTGTCTGACCACTTTTGCCAGAGAACGAGGCAACATGGCAGGAAATTCTACATTTAAAATAGATAGTGCAGTTAGTTGTTGCCCAAGTCCACACAGATGAAACCATAAGCTATCTTGAGGCCAAGATGTACGATCACAGGCAGATGTAACTTTGTCGAGGTCATTTTAACCATGTGATAAGCATGCATGTTTGTTAACTATAACTCTTGCTGCTTTTAAAGTAAATACAGTTAAGTTTATAAAACCATTTCATTTGTCATTGGGTTATTTAAATGTTATAAGGTAGTTGAACATAACTTAATTCAACGCAGGGACAAATATAGGTCAACAGAATTAGATTTTACCCAACCAAAAAGATTCAAATTTGGTGTACGTATTAATTTTTTAAAACTGTGCTGAACAGACTCAATAAAATGACACCATAGAGATAAATGTGGATTTGGTTCAGCTAGAGAAAATGTATTGAATAGAAAAACTGCCATCAATTAAATTGAGCTAATCCAATAAGTCATTTTTATGACTGTTTACATGCCCTGCTGCCTTCTGTTTTATCTAGAGAACACCAGAAAGAGAAAGGCATAGGCTCAAATTGCCAAAAAGTTGGTGTTAAAGTTGGTCATCCAAGACAATTGGTTTCCTCCAACAGTCCAAAAACAGGAGAGAGCAAAAAATGTCCTTTAGCATTTTTCGATATGCTCTGATGTAAATCTTGCTTGGACAGTCAGAAGGTGACTAGAATGTTATCTCTGAAATGCTCAGGTCAGTATTTCAAACTGGTCTCTCTTTCTTCAACTGTCAGGAGCAAACCAAACCGAGAGCCTGATTTTCAGAAGGTCTGCACATCTTGAAATAGGTGAGTTTGTTCACGCAGATCAGATCTTCAGAGAGGGTGCTAAGTGATTTATGTTTGTGCATATTGGTCTTTACCAATATGCAGGACATATTCTAATGACACAAATACATAGGTGGATATGCAAATGTAACCATTTACCCCGTGCAAAGCTATTATCCAAATCCAAGACTCAACTTTTACATACGACTTTTTTAGTACTTCTAAAAATTCATGTAAAAGCAAACATACAAAACTATGCAGTGGACGGAAAGAGATTCTGTGCACATGTGAACATAGTTAGACCACTAGAAATAACAACAGTAGAATAATATCAAGAAACATCCATATAGGTGGGTTCAAATGAATGCACCCTAAAGTTGTTTTTATACTATTAAACCACATCAAAAAATGAGTGAGAATAATTGTTTTAAGTATAAATATGATAATATTTAATATTTTTTTATATTCAACTTTACTTATTTTTTATTTTATTTTTGTACCTCTTTTTTTTTTTTTTTACTTTTTTTGTAGCACTTTGAGATGGGCTACCTATATGAGGTGCTCTACAGATATTATTTGGTTTATTAAAATGTCTATTATTTAAATACTTACCTTTATTACCTTCAGCTCCATAGCTTTGAAATATTTATTTTACAGCCACTTTCAAACTGCTCGTAGATCACAAAATCTGCTCATCTTCAAACCAAATTTGTTTGCACATCTTTACATTTGTGCAGCAATCTTTGCAGATCACCTGCAGCACACCCAACTATTATAAACACTAAAGAAAATTTAAGTGCAATTTAGAATCCTGTATTTGAAATCTTTGAAGTTCAGGTTTTAAATGTGTGACCTTTATGTTTCAAATAAGCAAACATCTTTCAAAAAGCGGCCCAGTATATGTTTTTTTTGTCATGTGCACCCAATGTGATAAGCCTGTTTGTTATTTTTTGTGATTATAAGTGGGAATAAATGTTGGAGCATTTCAAATTATCCATCACCAATAAAAGAAAGTTTGTTGAAAATTATCGATGAGAATTTGTTCTGTTTTAATTATGTTAAATGGCTTGAATCTCCACTTTTTTAAAAGTTGGTTTCGGTAAACACAAATCCTGTTTTTATTGTTCCATTTTAAAATGACTGCATCACAAACTAATGCAGTAAATATGAGGTTTTTTTTTTTATTAATCTCAACACAATGTGATATCAAAGATCAAAAGTGTATTTAAAATTTGCTTTTCAAAGCACAGGGCAAGACTGCTTTACATTTGATGCTCTCATCAAGCCCCAAGCACCTACTTCTCAAAGTTAAACTCAGCACCATCATAATTACACGAAATGAGTTTAGTCTTTGCTGCAGAGTGCAGGGCCAGCTGGTCCGCCAGGATTTATGCCTCACACTGCTACGCCCCGGTCACGGCTATCTGGAGTCACTTCACCATATGGAGGTGATGGACCCACTAATTACAATAGTGCTGTCCTATTAACACAGAAGAATGCTATTTGGCAACTGTGCATCATTTAAGCCGCACTTCAACACAACTTGACACATTTTATGACAGCCTCCATATGCAGTAATTGATGGGAGGATGTATTTACATTTATGGACAAGGAGAGAATTCAAATGAGCTAAAACTAGTACTACAACAAAGTTTTCCTAGAGTGAGGAAACAATCGCCTATATTTTCCGAATGTCTAGGCTAAGGAGGAAGATTGTAGGACAGAGTCAAATTTATAGAAGAGTAAAGAAATTAAACTTGGAGATAAATCTTTCCAAACCCTGTGGGAGAATGTTGTCTTAAAAAAAACAAAACAAACATGGACTTTTAGCTGCTATTCCTAAAGGTGCAACTAAAACTGGACTGAGCATAACAAAAATGTCATGCACAGTGAAACTTGGTGTTATCACACTCTGTGATTTCCTTTTCTTGGGCCTAGGGGTTTTTTCAGTTGATAAATCTTTAAAGCTTTTTCAAAAATCAGTTGGTTTTAATCTAAAAACCTTCAACTGTCTGCTAGAGAGCTCATGATCGAAATTCAAATTAGATTGTGCGTACAGTATATACATTGAGGGTGTGGCGGTTGGCATGGATTTATGTCAATATTTCAATGCAGAGCAAAGGTGACTCCATGAATTGTAGTTGTGTTACTTAGTCTAACTCGAATTTGTTAATGACTGTTGAGGCTAAATAAAAAAAGGTTACATAGGATGCTTTTTGCCAATAGGAGATGCATTTCATCAGCCCAGCTTGCTTAAACCGGTCCACATTGACTTAATTCACACAGAGAGAACAAAACTATAACACAGGAATCTTCACCATATTGCTATAGTCATATTGCTATAGTTATCTGCTACACAACATATTTACTATAAGAAGTAACTGTCAATATGCCTTTTAGATTCTGACAGTATGATTGAAAAAAATATGATGCAACCACCAGAGAATTACAGCAAATGTCAAAATGTGTGAGCTCAACCGTCTAACTTCTGTTGCTATGTTACTGCACGGATCCAACCTAATCTAGAGATTGTGAAAATAAAAACCAACAGTGCACTGCTGCAGTTTGATCAAGCTCTTTTTAATAAAAGAACAAAAAAATATAAACAAACTGCTCAAAAGTGGAACAGTGGCAGAGCAGACAAGTCTTACCTGCCAAAAGTCTGCCACAGTGGAAGCAAGTGGGCCCTGGGCGGCAATGTAAGTTGGATTGCGAGGGTCGTGATCCATCTGAGAAAGGAGGACACAATTTTTTAAGACAAAGTTCTGCTTTTTTTGTTTTTCATCAAATTTTGAATACGGATCAATGAACAAGCAAGAATCCATTGAAATAAATCCACATTTCCACTCATGCTTACTCATAAGCCCCATGTTAAAAAGAACAGGGCGATATGCGCGCTTTTAACTTTGGTGCATATCCTCCTTGACTAGCATTCATACACTAGCAAGCACCTCCAAAATTTGTGATGCAACCAATCTGAAAGTAAGATTCAGCAAGTCTTGTAACTTATAGTGTTGCACCGATGCCATTTTTGGCCGTGATACCGATAACCGATACCTGGCTGTGTAGTATCGGCCCATAACGATACCAGCTGTTTGAAATTGATGTGTGTGTGTGTGTATATAAAGAACTGCATACTACTTCCTATATAAAATAACTGCCATCATGGCTTTGTCAAGCTGCAGCCTACCTCTGTGAAGCACGAAAAAGACTAATACAAAGTGAATCCAGTAGAACTTTTTATTGCCTACCTGGAATGGTTGACAACAGTTGAATAAACTTTTGGCTCTAAAAAAAGTTTCGGTGCCCTATTTGTCGGTACTCGCCGATACCGATACCTCCAATTTAGTGCTGGATCGGAGCCCTGTCCGATACTGGTATCGGTGCAACACTAGTAACTAATCTAACTTCTTACACCGGATTTTTCTTATCTTATTTTAAAATGGGAATATATAGTGAGACCTTGTTGCCCATCAAAGGAGAACAGAGGTTTTATTGAATAATACGTTGGAAAGTATTACCCCAAATCAGTGTGAGATTTTCTGTAACTACTATAGGAAATAATCAACAGAAAAATATCCCTGTACATATTTGTACTGTAGACTAACCAGGAGTTACTCGATGACACGCGTTTAAATTGCCAAATAATGTTGGAAAAAAAAGACTTGAGATACGTTATATATCTACAAGTGTATTAACATTTAACCCTTTATTTATTATTAAAACTAGAGAAGTTACCAAGAAAGCTGAAATAAAGCAGTAGTTTTGGTTAAACATAATGGAATTCCATAAAGTTTTATGAACTTGAAGTACAACTTGTCAAGGTGATGTTAAATTGCCTCAAAAGTCTGTTTAGCGATCTTTGTTTTCTGCCTACCTTGAGCTTTACACTCACCACTAAAAGCAAAATAATGAATGTTACATCCTAGATCTGATTTCACGACTCTTTTCTCTGATAATTTCTGATATCTTGAACAACACAGATTGAATTTTAAAGCTCTGAAATGCTGACAGGAAATTCAATTAACTCAGTTTTCTCTGGCTGTTTTAGACTGTAGGTACCACCCTGCTTTCAAAAAATATATATACACTGTTTTAAAAAGCAAATGTAAATATTTCATGTGAAAGTGTGGAAATTAAGGAGCGGTAACAATCACTCCTATACGAAATATCAGCTACCTTTATATGGAAGAAAAAGTGAAAACAGTGGATAAAAGATAAACGAATACAGAAAACCACTTAAATAACGTCTAAGTTTCTCATGAGCAATAGCTGTGTTGTTAGGCTTCCCCTTTATCCTTGAAATTCCTCAAATACATTGGACAAATTAAAATAAAGAATCTAAAGAAAGAGGACTCTTCCCCACAGAAATAAAAGGCCAATGCCAAATGCTAGCCACTCCTTTCAGCCAATCTCAAGGATGCAGACGTGCTGTAGCTGTGGCGCCTGCATCCTAACATGAATACTAAAGCAGAAAGATGAAAAAGAGGCCCTGCATTTCAGCTGTGTCTCCCTGTGCTGTTGTAGTGTGAAGATAGACTGCAACAAAAGAGGAATGCAAAGAAGTGCTCCCTTGGCTTTGAGTGAAATTGCTTGGACAAAAATGGCTCAAACGAAACATCTGCTCCAGGAGAAACATCTTAGCTTTTAAACACCATGCCTTGAAGCTGCTTTTCTGTGAAAGAGAGGGGTTGGGCAGTAAATGCTGCTAAGCTCAATCCAGAGAGACCCAGGCAAAATCACTGAGCAGACGACTGGCAGATTGTTTAGCAATAATGCCAAGACGGAGCTTCTGTTAATATACCTTCCTTCAAACTATTTCTCTCACGTATGATGAAGTAGATCCGGGTGCTCATGAATAATTTGTGGAAGAGCTTTTGCTGTGATCATAGAATCCCTTATTCCCCAGTTGCCTACCTGACCCCTGAATCCCAGAATAAAATAATTTATCCTAAACGTAATGAAGTAAACTGGAGGGAATAGCAACAGTCACAGATGTAATTATCCCAGCTTTGCACGCCAAAGACGGGTCCCTTTGTATCACAATTACTGTCCATTCATTTTTACATTCCTGCATCACCAAAAATATTACAACCAAAGTTTTCCAAGGCGGCTTAAAGAATGATTATCTTAAGCATTCTTTAAGCCGCCTTGGACAACTTTTAGTTTGGAAGTTTTGAATCATAAATTTACTTTTTATTCCCAAATTTTCTGTTTGATTAATGATAATCAGAATAAGTAGAAAACCAAACACCTGTCGCAAAGAAGAAAATAATTTGTGTAAATTGGTTCATACTCTTCACAAACGTCTGTCCCTGGTTGATAAGCTTAATGACAGTTTTCCTAACTATCAAGTTGGAAGTTGTGCCCTGAGAGAAATAAATATAAATACATTTCTATTGATAGGCTTCTACATGATCAAGACGTATAAATGAGTCTCTACAGTTTGTTTCTGAAGAGTCATAGCCTTTTAGGGCAGCTGTGCATGTCCCCCAGCGGTCTACACAGAAGATTTTGATACTGTATTTGAAATGCATAGCTTCCTGTTCTCTTTGATGGAATCCTTTCTCAGTAGCCTTGTGGGAAATCACGACTGACAATGTTTTTTAAAAACAACAACAAAAAAAACACCTAAAAAAAAAAAACCCATAGAGACACAAAGGTTATTATGCTTTCCAGCATGAGGGGGTCTTTTTGTATTTACATGGAATGCATTTTCTAATTCAAAAAAGTCTGCACTTTTTCATGTGCTAGAATGAAAAATAAGATACTGGTGGTGAAAAGGATTTGAGAAAACCGAATTCACTGATGCTCGCTGTACAAAATACAAAACTTAAAAAAAAAAAATGAAAGAAGATCAACAATCTAAATCAACAGGATATTGTTCCAAAAACATTTTGTCACATCGTAACCACAAGCTTCTCTGTAAGTTAATGGGAATTTATATTAGAGACTAACATATTTGACAAGTTGAAGGATGTCTGCATGCTGTGTTTCCTGCTGGAAAACATTAATTTTCCCACAAATATTGATTGAATTTTAAAATGATTTTCTAATCTTTTTACGTATCTTACTCAGAAAATTCTGGTACTAGTACAAGCTTTTTTTATTTCTTTAAAAGTTCCAATTTTTCATCTTTAAATGCAAAATGATATGGATAAAAATTAACATTACACATTCCTCTAAACACACCTTCCATACAGTTACAAAAGGTGATGGCCGTATAATGCTGTAAAATTATTTTATTCTGCAGGAACAGGACAGCAGATTTAAGTTGACATATTACAAATCTAGATATAGAGGTTGCATATTGTAGGAGTTTTAAAATAACAGTCCAAATTTAAACCCAAAGCAAGAATGGAGACTGATATTCCTATGATGCTCTCTTTGTCTCTAAGTGAATCTAAGCTGTTTGGTAAAGAAAAATGGCTAAAAAGGTGCAGAACTGGTAGACGTATTCCAAAAGACTGTGGTGACTGTGAAGGTAGTGAATCTATGAAGGTTTAACTGAGATGCAAGCAAAACCCCAAATAATTGACAAATCCCTTTCCCTTTTTTATTGTTATGGAATATTTTGTTATATAGATTTGTATACTATATTCAATTTGCAACAAGAAAAAAACTGAAATAAAAGGTGTACGTAAGTAAGCAATACTTACAATGGGGCTGGCATTGATGTAATCCGAGTTGCTGTGGTTATTCTCTGCTTTCAAGGTAATTCGAGAATGATCATCTGTAATGAAGATACATAATTCATCCATATGGGTTATAATGTGATTTCCTTCCTAAACAGTAATGGTGGACCATTTGAAAAGCAGCTCCAGATGAAAAATAAAGAACCTTTAGTTACAGACGACTTTCATCAGAGACACAAAAACACCCTGCTTGCAAATCTGTACATGGCTTTACCTGCAATAAAGCCTTCTTTAAACCTAACAAGGCTTAAAGTTTTAATATGTAAAATCCTAAAAAAATGTAAAGATTTATTTTTCCAATGGAGATAAACCCACATCTAATATGAGTTGCATATATTTTGAATCACTTTGAGAAATGACAAAATTTAAAAATAGTCAGCTCATAGATCTGTCTTATCTTCATCAATGGGTGGCAGCCTTCATTAGTTTGTACGTTTAATTGTAAAGTGGAGTATAGAGACTCTAAAAAAATCCCTTTAGCTGACATGGCAACCCACTTAGAGCAGTACCCAGACCAAAATTGTAAAAGTATATATAAACATTTTGCATTTAAGATAAAAATTTTTTATTTTTCATCAATATGCTCTATCCACAACTCCTCACATGGAAAAGTTTTAGTTTCAACTGCTTTAATTTGGTAAAGTTATTATTTAAACAAAATTTTTTTGTTTAAAATCAGCCAGTGATGCCTTTGCTTGCCAGGCTTGTACTTGTGACCAACTGTCGCTGCTACTGCTTCTTACAGCATCCCAAAAACAGACTTTAACAAAACCTAATAAGGAGGATGTATGAGTTAAAGGAAGAACAGATTTCTAGGTGTGTTACCCTCACTACCATGGTAAAAATACTTTACTCTAAATGGATAAATACATATTTAAACATGTTTTGTTTTTTTGAGTAATGAGTACAATGTTATCAAAGACATTTAAGAAAAAATAGTTTTACTGAATAAAACATGGTTTAAAGACAAACTTAACTTATATTAACGCTCACTTGGGGTTATTTCTATAATTTTGAATTTGATTTACTCAATTCAATTAATCCAAGACAACTAAACAAGACTTTGTTGTTATTCTTTATTCTACTAAGAAGGAATTTATCGAGAGAATTTGATGCGTTTTGTTTGTCACAACCTAAAAATGATTGTTTACTGTGGAAGCACATTTTGTAACTAAAGTAGTGTTCTGGCCTGTTTATCAGTCTTCTTTAATGGTTCATCTGTTAAAAAAAATCTATGCAATCCTATTTCTGACCATTCCACCTCCCCATCTTTGAAACAGCGGGAATGTTTCCACAAGGCAAAAGAAATCGAAAATGAAAAGATCTAAGGAGACTTACAAACAACAACGGCGTTAGCTCGGTTCTTCTTAGAGTTCTGCTCAATTTGGCCTACACTGCAGGCACTGGGCTCAGCCTGGTAGGAGCACAACGCCTCCCACTCGCGCTCCAGACGGTTCTTGTTCTTCAAGTGGTCCTCCATGTAGGACTAAAGGGAAAATAAAGGGACCATTTTAAACAAGAAATAGAATTAGAAGAAATCAGTTTCTACAAGCAGTTTTTGTTAATCTTTTATTATATTTTATTCAGAAATGTAAAAAAAAAAAACAGTAAGTTAACAATAAAATAGAAGATGAAACAGTGTCATCCTGAGCTCCTGAAACAAAGAGGAGGAATAAACTGATGATCAAAGTACTGAAGGGTGTGATAATATTGGGATATCGGTGCATGTGCGTTTGACTATCCGCCCCCAACAGACACACAAACACTGACACAATTAGGACTCCTGAAAGGTTTGTCTGTTTTGGAAATACTTCAGGGGTGTTTCAATCACGTCCCTCACTGCTTGCACAGCTCCTGATAAGATTGTCTGCATTTAAGCCGTTGGTTGGAGAAGACAAAATTGAATTCGCTCTAGAGACAAAGATGGAACAAGAAAAAAGGGGGAGGGGTAAGTAGCAGTCTCAGTGTGAGTGTGTGTGTACATCCTGCTAAACCAGGGTAAGTCTTAGGGAGCTTAGAGTTTGTCCTGGCAAGGAGATTCTTATTTTTTTCTGTGTATCATGGCTCTCCTCCTGACGAGGGGGTTAGATGGTTTGGTCTGCTATTGTGTGAGAGAGAAGATTACAGACTCATAAACTGATGTCAGGGATCAGCTGGCTAATACAATGACAATGATACCCAGATGTGTCGCGTTTTTATCCCGTATTAAAAAGCACCATATAGGTAGGCTGGGCAAAGAGGTGACATTCCGCTCTTAACATATCCTATTCATTCAGTCATTCATCCATGCTGTCAAGTGCAAAAAGAAAAAAAATCTCAGCCTGATAGTCACATCAGTTTCAAGAAGATTATCAGAGGAAAGGTTTTACAGCAGAATAATAGACTATTAACCTTTGACCAATCATGGTATTAAAGAATTGGGACTTTTTATGAGGTTTCTAGCCATTTATCAAGCTACAAATTATGTTTTTTACACATTCCTGACATAAAGTAATAAGTTTAGTAAGTTTGTTTGTATTTATATTCCACAATTATGGAACAATGTGATTCAATCATGCAATAGTGGGCTTTTTTATCATCATATAAACCCCCAGAAATCGACTGAGAATGACTGTTAAATCGACTGAACAGTATCAGGGACTGATATACTGTTAGTCCTAAATCCGTTGTGTTCACTGAGCACTAAATGCCCCATAACAGGAAGCCTAAACAACAGTCCTTGTTTTAGAGGTTTTTGGTTTGGGAACAAGACTTCAGTTCAATTCAGTTTATTTATATAGCGCCAATTCACAACACATGTCCTCTCAAGGCACTTTACAGTTCTTAATAGACTTAATTTGCTATTTTCAGTATTAATGGGGAGTTTCAAATGACATAATCAGAAGCGAGAAAACTGTAAGGACCTACTGGAAAGGAAACTTAATAATCTATCATCTAGTAACTGTTCATTTAGGGTATTTAACACACAGGGATACATCATCAACAAAAGGGGGCTAAACGATAACAACGAATTCACCCCCGTGAAATTTTATATTTTATCATACTGGATCTGGAAACTGAGTGTGTAATTTTACTAGAAACACACGCAAAGAGAGAATTAGTAAGTCTAATCTTGTTTAACATGCTAATTGCTAATGTAAGACACAAAAGATGGTTAAAAAGGTCCAATCTGTAGTCATGGTGTTTTTGTTTGCAACTAAAGTAAAACCAAGAGATAGTGCAGAGCTGTGATACCCCAGCAGCGAAAAGGAGAGACAATATAACCACCAGACTGATTTGTAATAGAGCTTAAGGCATATCTAATTGTGAAAACTTATGCCACATAATTTGGAGAATGCTTCTGCATTTATTAATTTTAAATGAAGTGGATAGAGACAACTCTGTTCCTCTTTGGAAAAGTGGCTTTGTTCTAATTTATCACTATACTTTTGTTTCAACAGTTTAATTTTCATATTATCTATAATTTGGCATTTGACATTACACGCAACTTAATTTGATACAGACAGGTCAGCTATTTACGAAAATGATCGGATACGAGCCAAAAAGTCACTTACTGATGAATGCTTCTTTAGCATTTTAACACATTTAGATTGATTCTTTTTAGCATTCCGTAATGCTCAGATTTCTAAGGTCTGGACTGAGGTTTCCTACAATGTATGCAAAATTGATTAAAGCACAATGTGAGCTGTCATACAATATGTTTGTAAAAACAATGACTGTATGGCACCTTAGCCTTAATCAGAGAAAGTCCAGTAATAAGTAAGGTCAAAAAAAAAAAAAAAGGCTAGGCTTTCACTGTGAATCATAAAATATTTCAATTTTAATAGTAACACTTGCAAGTTTACATATGCTGAGTTATGGACACAGAGTATGCAGAGTATGAGTCTTTCCAGGAAAGGACAGCATGCCATTATGGCCACTTGACAGAGCCTGTCACCACTGCGCTCTACCCTACACAAGTACTCTGCACACCAGCCTGACAGCATCCCACCTCCCCCCATAGCGACCAACATCTTGTACTCTGTGCATCCACTGAATTGCATCTATTCAAACCAGAGCCGCCAAATCGATTGCATTTCAAATTCATAATTTTTTTGCAAGCTTAATGGGATGCAGCTAGCAGAGCCCCCTTATAGAGCCCTCCCTTCTTTTTTATTTCTTTTTTTTTTAGGAGGGAGGCAGTGGACCGTGGCATATTCCAGAGACAGGGTAACGAAGGCTTGGTGAATAGTGGGATGTGTGGGGGGGATTATGTCTGCCAATCAGAGGGCTGGGGATGGGAGGCCTGTGTGTGTCAGGGAAACAATGTCTAATCCTTCCTAAGCAGCGGTCTCCTCGGCAGCAGAGGGATGAAATTGGGATGAAGGCACGACCAGACACAACAGGTAACACATCCCTGTCGAATTAAATTGCTGCTAGCAGTTTGGGCTGGGGCTTTATGGTTTGATAAGCAGCTGTGAGACGCGTGGAAAAAAGGAGGCATTAATGTGCAGAGTGATTTTTGTGCAACAAATAGCAAAACAAAAGGTCTTAAATGAGAGAGCAAATTGTGTTTTTGCCAAGGAACTACATTTAAAAACATTGAAGGCAGAACATTTTGTTTTCCTGAATTTATCATTTTGAAAAAAGCAAAAGAGCCAAGAACAAGTTCTATATTTTTTTATAACAGCTACAGTGGATTAAAGAATTTACATGTTCATATCTTTTCATGTTACAATGTCAAAACCACAGATGTTGACGTATTTCATTTGGGCTTTAAATGTGGTAAACTAGAAGAGTATAATACAAATTGTGAAATGGAACATAAAGAAAAGGTTTTAAAAAGGTTAAATCTGAAAACTTTGGTGCACATTTGGACTCAGCCACTCAAAACAGAACTAACCCCTAAAAGCAGCAAGTCATTGGGGGATGCCTCGACCAGATTTGCACATTGAAAAAAAAAAGTTTGATGATAATTCTTCCCAAAAATCCTTAAGTCCAGCAGCAGACCCTAAACAGTATATAATTTAAGTGGCCCATTTAAGCACATGACTTTACTTTCATCATAATCTATCCCACTGTAGCTTTTGGCTGTATGTTTAGTTTATTTGTCCCACTGAAAGTTAGATATGTTTTCTCTACTCATCTTTCCATAAATTCAAACCAGCATGTGTATCCCTGCTAAAGAAAACCATTCCCATAGCATAATGCTCTCATTGCCATTTGTCACCATGTAGATGCCATGTTCATTTCGGAGTACAGCATTAGCTTTCTGCCACTCATAGGCTTTTAGATGTAGGCTAGTATAATCTTAGTCTCATTTGACCCAACACTGTTTCAAATGTCTCTAAAACTTTATCTCTGCATTGTGCTGTGTTCATTTGACTTCATGATGGTGTTTGTTTATCAATGTTCTCTAATAAAAATCTAAAGCCTTTAGATGAAATCAGAATTTTGAGAGAACTTACACTACTAGATGATTTATGCAGGAAATTGGTGGCTTTCAGTTTTATTCAGAGGGAATAATAGGTTTTACATTTTTATATGAACTTTTTTTCCTCAGGACCATGTGGAATTTGCTTTTACTTCATGATTATGTGCTACTTTGTGATTATCTTTACAACACAGCTCTAATAAAATACAGACCCATTTGGTGTTTTAATGTGAAGAAATATGCAAAATAAAAAATCCAGCAAAAAGGTTTAAGGGAAATTAATATTTTTGCATTATGCCATAAGAGGAGCAAAGAAAAAAGCAACTCAAGCCTGTTTCTCCACAAGTTTGGTCTACTGCACTGTCCGTGGTGCTGAAACAGCCTTACGCTGCAGAAATACAGCCAAGCGCTGCTTTCTATTATCATTTTCCAATATTTTTAACCACTCAGAAAATAAAAAGTGCAGGTTACAGCACCAAAAAGCAGCTGAAACAGACAAAAGGAAAGAAGATGCAAATTGTCAGACACCAGAGGTGAGTCGAAGCATCAAATGGAAAAAAAACGACACACCCAGCAGATGGGTCAGCAGATTCAATTTCAATTCTGAAGTTTGAAGTCGTTATGCAAGTTTCAAGGTGGGCAGTGCAACATTTATCCTGAAAACCTTAGAAAGCGTGTGTATGAGAGTGAAGTGATCTGGTCCAAAAAATAAAACAAAGCAAAAGAACAACGACATAAAAACACCCTGGTAAGCTTTGGAGAGCTTAGTATTCATCATCTAGCTCTGCACGATGTGAGACGAGACGAGAGCAGAGATGAGAGGGGAAATATAGGTCTGAGATCAGCGATAACAAGGCAATCTCACACATGGTTTCACGTTAAGATGATGGCAGAATTTCAAAGAAGAGCCTCCTCTATAGGACAACTCCATGTCAATCACAGCATGGAGAGAGCAACAAAGGTCCCAGTAGGTATTTTTTTATTTTTTTTAAACCATTTCTATATTCTAATGCCTGCACTGCTGCAGCGAAGAAACGAGGCTTAATAATAACCACAGCTACTAGAAATGATTCACTGCGGCTCCTTTTGTTATTTGTGCAGCTAAATGCTTTTCTATTGTCAGTGTTTTCAAAGGGGGCTTCACAAACAAGCCTTGACAAGTGCAACAAAACCCATCTATTACCACCAAATACGAGGCATTACTCAGATTCCCTCTCATTCATTATAGCCTCCCAGTATAAAAGCCAGACATGCAGTGTGATGAATGCTCTCTCCATTAATGGAAACACTGCGAGGCATCTATCCATCTCTCTTTTTACTTTTTTTTTTTTTTTTCAAATGAAAGTTGGGGGACAAATTAAAAACTACCCTCTGTGCAGTTGTGAGACCATTCTTAATAAGTAGAAAACAGGAACAAAATGTGTAAAAATGAACACATAATTTTTTCAAAGCTAAAAAAAAAAAACTCAGATATGAACTGGTATTTAATTTTCTGTCATAGTCATCACAGGAGACAATGTCTGGTTTAAGCTGCAGCACCATGGGGGCAAACATGAGCGGTGGAAGAAATTACAGGGAGGTAAGCAGCAGGATGGTGTGTTAAATGTAAAAAAAAAAAAGATAAGGTAACTAAGAGTGGATATAAAGTGTAAAAATAAGGTACAAATGCATTTTAGAAACAAAATAAAAAAAATTCAAGATTTCACCAATGGATTTGCAGCATGTTCAGCTAAATAACATCAGGATATAATTTTATCTAATCTGGACTGCTTTTAAATAATCTATCACTACAAGACACAGACTTTTAAAGTGTTTAAAAAAATTATTAAAAACATACAACATGAGCAATTTAACTGCTTTTATTTAAAGCAAAAAATAGAATAAAAGTCCTATGTTATACAGAAAAAAGTAGTCATCATATGAATGTAATTTTAAACATATCTAAATACACCTATGTAAGCAAACTGCATTTTCAAACAATATAGCACCTCTATTTTAATGTTGCTTTAAAAGTAAACATACTTATAGCTCAGATTGTACACCTTTTGACCATTCTGCTCTGCACAGACTAAGACCGCCACCTAAGTTTTGCAATTAGTCAAGCTATCTGCTCAAGTAGTTAGGACATATAATAATTAAAATGGTTGAAAAAGCAAATTTAGAATCTTAGTAAGAACTGATGCTGGAAAGCAGTCCATAGTGGTCCAGTGTTTCTCTTTGACCACATGCAGACTACCTTTCTGTTATGGAACTTTCTTTGAGAAAACATATTTTTTCCCCCTTATTTTAAAGCTTCTTTTTGTTCCCTCAACTCATATACTTAATCAAAATTTTACTTATATTCTGGATAGAGGTTATCAAACTAAAATATAAATACTCAAATATTAAAAAAGACAAAATCAACTCTATAAAACTTGTGTTTTCATATTCTTATTATAGTTGATAGATTGGTGCAAAGTAAATGAATGATGAACTCAGCTGGGATGCTTTAGGTGGATCACTGGCACTATATGATCTGTTCAGCTTTTCTGTGTTGTGGTGGAACTGAACTGTGTGTGATTTCAATCTGACTGAATGATTGAATTCCATTGGATGAATTGGACTAATTAGTTTTGTCTTTAATTATATTTGATTGAAATAGTATGTTCCAGGTTTGAAAAGAGCCAAGAGTTTGTTGCACTGTTTTTATCCAATAAACCCTCACTGCGATGTTCTCAACCTTACCAGTATCATATGACCTGTTGAGATGTCCATGTTGGACGGCACCGGCTCTTCGCACCAGGAGGAGGTGCTGCTGCGCGTGGATGGGCTGGCTGCAGGGCCATCGCTGAACTGGGATGACACACTATTGAGGCGTGAGTGGCGCAGGGTCTCGGGCCGCTCCACACGCTCCGACGTCCTGATCGCCATGCGCTGGCGACACAGCTCCTGTGGAGGGATTAAAGAATGTGACTTTGAGTGACTGAATAATCAATAATGCTTTTTAATTTTTCCCACCCCGTCTCTCTGACTCCTTGCAAGCTGTCATGTATTTTATATCCCTGTCATACACGTAACAATTGCTGATGTATTTTTCATGCTTATCCTCTTGCTGTAAGGAGCTGACTTCTATAAATGCACCTTGTGAGATCCTGTATCCCTGCTTACTTGTCTGTAGATTAATGGCTTATCCCAGTGGATTATAAAGATTATACTAATTATGTCAAAAATACATGAGCTGAGGAAGCCCACGCCTTTACAGGAATAAATGCTGCACCTTCATGCCACACAATTACTCTTTCTGTTTCGCTCATTTTTATGGAGTGGTCTAAAACTGTGTTTACATTTCAAATTTCCTTTACTATTATTGCGTAAAAAGTGGCTATTGAGACGCCTACTCATTAATCATTGACAGATACTGGGGAAAATCCAAACATCGGTCAAATTCTATCTCATAGAAGCTTTTACTTTCCTTCCTAATTCCTAAAAATCATAATTTTTTGGGAGGGCTGTATAAAGAGATTTAAAAAAGCAGGCTGATTGCAAGTTGGAAAATAAATAACAGTATATGATAAGGAGTATAACTAGTTAGCCATTTTAGTATTTTGGTAGGGTATGAAGGACAAAAAAGCACATGATATAAATAAATGAATTAACTGTTTAACAGCAAAATCTTATTTTAATTCAGGGAATTAAAAACTTAATTCTAGGATGTCATCCATGTGAGACATCCTTTTTTTTTCTTTTTTAAATCAAACTATCCAAGACATTTCTGCAAATAATGCACTCCCATGTATCCTTTATACAAAGTTCTCTACAGAGTTATATGTAAGTGACAGTGTGCAGCATCTAAGCCTGCATTCTATGTAGCGGCACACTAGTGTAGACTGAGGATATGAAACTGAAGACAAAAATATTTCAGTTAGATAGAGAAAAGCTCCAAATGACTCACTTTTTGTCAAAAATATACTAAAAGGTTTTTAAAAGTCTTACAAGCTTGTTATCTGCTTTCTGATTTATGCTTTAAAAACAGTATAATATCTGCATATTCACAGGTGGGGCTAGAGGAGAGGTGTTCTAATCAGGATGGCACACTAAAACTAAAAATCAAAGCAGTAATTCTTAAGCTTTACAGCTACTGTCATCTTTAGAGCAGTGGCTTGTTAAGAAATTTGAAATGGACATATATTTTTTGTCCTTTAAGCTCATTCTGCTCTTTCTTAAATTCAAAATCACATGAAAAATATATGTCAAGTGTTTAACGCTTCATGTTTTATCTTGCACTCCCTGCCTTTCCTTGGTTGCACCACAACAGAGATGCAAATAAAAAAAAAATGAACCAAACTAATGCTTTATTTTGATTAATATCTGAATATTTCTTGTTAAAATCTGCACACCTTTCCTAATGACTCAGCTCTTTTCCCATCATGCCTTGGTGCAAACATTAGCTCCCTGTAGCACAGAATCATAAAACTGTGTGCAGTCTTCCAGCATTGTTTTCCCCCTGCTTCTTTCCTCGAGCTGTGATCTCATTTGATATTTGCATTTTGAATTCATAATCTGAGAAGCCCACCGTGTTTGACTTTTTCTGAGGAGGCGAAACGGCTCCCTTTCTCTCCACAAAATAAATTTTCACACCCAATTAATAATGAAGAGGACAGCGCAACTAGAGAAAAAGCCTCATGAAAGTGTATGCTATCTCTTGATGAATCGCAGTGATATTTCCCTTTAGAGCACAGGCCCCTCCTCCTCCTAAGCTCCTGGTCTTGGATCAGCTTTTCCACCATCAGACTTTAATGATTACAGCCATCAAACAGTGCCCAGGGCCCTGGCCTTGGGGCAGCGTCCAGGTCCACCTCATAACTCATCCCACCTCTCAGTGTCTCTGCTAAAGCACCAGTGGAGCTGACATTTTTTTTTTTTTTATCAGAAGGAAAAAAAGAAGAAGCAAGCAGTCGGTGCCAGGGGAAAGAAAAAGAGGAGCACAGGTCATAGGATTACAGGTTCACTACTGGCCACTCTTTTGAGCACTAATAAGAAGTAAAACAGACAAGGTACATGACCAATTTTAAATCTTCAACAATTATATTGCATATAAATAAATCTGTTGATTATTTGAATATTAATCAGAGCAAAGAATTTTAACAGAATAAAACCAGGTTAAACAAAATTTTTTTCCACTTCTAGTTCAGGTTAAAGCATATTTATGGATGAAAATTATAAATATAAATAAATATTTTTCCAATTTTGCTTTAAATATTCCTCATAAGAAATTTCTCTGTCGGCTAAAGACATGATTTAGATTCTCTATACTTCAGTGAACGATTAACTGATTACAAAATCGATTAATCTGATTAATGATTTCAGCCCTAATATATACACATATGAATTTATAGTTCTTGGATAAATAACTGATAACAGTCCAAACACTGCAAACATATGCATCATTAATACTATTACATTTCTACCTACCTACTGTGGATTATATTTCTTTTATTCTTAGATTGGACTCCAATTAAATCAAATGAAGGATTCATTTTTAGAACATATTGTGAAGCTTGAGCAACCCTGAAAAATCTTTCTGAAAACCAGCATGGAAATCCACACCAACATAGCATCAGGTAGTGAAGCTCAAATTTTATAATTGTGAGGCAGAGCATGATTTCCCATCTGGGGTCGGGAATGTTAACATGTTCTCAGTGCAGCCCTGCAGAAGCCTGATAAAACATTGAAAATGTTAACTCGACATGCGGATAAATGTGTTCCAAGTGGCACGCTGGGCACAGCTGAGCCCCAACCCTGGTAAAATCAATACTGAGCAGGCTGCCTGCTGCTTTGGAGGAACAGTGGGAATAGGTCAGGTTGGAGACATGTTTCCTATCCTATGTGTGCATATTCACGTACACACACTTCTAATCATAAAGGTAAGCAGACTTATTGGACGGAAATCCAGAACTGTCCTCAGAACATTAACCACCACTTAAGCTCATCTCAAAGGCAGATTCAGCCACACATTTCCAAACGCATGCTTATAAACCAGCTAAATAATTGGGTGTATATTAACAGAGCATGTTTTCCACCAATGACACAGAACAAGCTGGTTATTCTGGCCTTTGGTTGGCTGGCGGCTCACAGAGGGGGCTGGGACTAACCTGATAGGCTGTTGTAGCGTCATGGTTGGTGTCAGTCCCTAAGCTTGCCAGCTTCTCCTTCATGTGGAGGTGTGAGCGCTGGCGGACGCAGAAGAAGGTGGCGGACACGGTCAGCGCCACCAGGATGAAGAGCATGCAGAGGACGGAGAGCAGCAGGAACTGGCCGGACTCCACCCTGGTCTCCTTCACTACAGGGATTTGGGTCAGGCTGCCTCTCTGGGTGACAGACAGAAAGAACACACCATCAGAGCAGTAAACTATGCTACTGAGTTGTTTTCTACACAACGTGGTCACATCTTCTCCTTTTCAACTGGAAGCTGGTGCTGACTTAAAAACATACAGAATCTGCATGTAGAGCCACCGACTGGTCCTTCTAATTAAGGATCCCTGATAGTTGCCTCATTATGTGCATTCAGGCTCAGTCAGTCCCCATTACCAACCTCTGCCCACTGCTGTCTCCTGTCTGAGGACTACAGATATTTACAACCCTATTTAGTGCTGGCATGAGAAAGCCTGGCACAGTGCAGCTGCAGGATGCTGGGATACCAAAAGCTTGTGCCTAATTAGCTCCTCTGGTCCTGAGTTGGCTGGATTAGGCTTTGGTCAAAGCAGCACTGAAGGGACACACAGGTAGCCTAAAGTGCAATAAACAGCATCAGACTAAAAAATAGATTTTACAAAATCTTCAGACACATACAGGCAAAAGGACATATTTGTTTGAGCTATTAGATATCTTTTAATATTTTTACTATCCTTAGTAAGTAATCAATTAAACTATGTTTTTAAACTATACAGACAAAGATCAGGCTTTTCCTGACAAGTATTGAGTTGGTTTTCTATGAGTCTGCCAAGGTCTGCAACAGGGTCAGGGGGGCTAGATCAAACAAAAACCTGTGTTTCAGGTTGTATGATATAGTCAGTAATAGATAAGGTTTTCTATGAGTATAATAATCCAATAATTTCAATGTCAGATTAAAATCTTTAGCCATTTGATTGGCTCAGCTTTTATTGTCACTATAAATTCACACCAGGGGTTTATAAGCCAACAATAGCTAATACCGTAGTCATTTCAGCTTAACTCCAGTTTATCTTTAACATATAACTATACACAGTTTGCAAGTATGCTGGAAGGAAAAACTTAAAAATCACCATCAACAAATTAAACAATAAAATAAAACAACATTGCTTATTTTGCATAATTGCAACAGAAAATTAAATGTTCACTTAAAGAGGAGCTGGCCTGAAACATAAGCAAAGTAAGCATCTGGTAGGTGTCCCCCAGTATCTGGGACATTGAACACTGAATAAAGATGTTCAAAAGCTTTTGTTCTTACTTTACTTTGTATATAACTAACTTTAAATACCACAATTACAATATAATCACAAAATGCAATTGGTTTGAATGTGCAAGTAGCATTGGATTTAAAGTGAATTGGTTTACATGAATTTAAAACTGTATTTGATTCTATATGACTGCATATGATTTGGACCCATAGGTATTGTTTTTTGGAATGAGATTTGTAACAATTTGTTGTATTATACAAAAAAAAAAAAAAAAAAAAAAAACTAAATTTCTTTTTATTTTTCTGATTAAAAAGGATTGACAAATACCTTAAAAGACAGCCGTTCTTGGAGAGGAAGCAAGTTTAAATTAAACAAAAATTTTTCGAATAGGATAAATATGGCCACACAGAAAATAACATTTATCAAATAATTATTAAATGTAAAAATAATTGCATAATAGTAAACGTTGTTTATTTAAGCAGCTAAATGTTATTGCTAAATCTTTTTTTTTATTTTTATCAAAATGAATAATAATGAGAGAAAAAAATCCACAGAATTTGTAGAATGGTGCAGAATATATTTTTTTATTTAAAAAAATAAAAAATATATAGTATATAAATAATAGTTCAATGAATTGTGATGGGCCCAAAATAAATAAATGTTTACTTTTTGTTATGATGCCAAGGTTGACACAATCAAACAAAACAGAGATGGAGCTCAGGCAAAACAAGAACTAGAGGACCTGCATTACAGAACTGAGAAATGGTTTCTTTATGGTGTTTCATATCAATGGTTAGCATTAGCATTAGAGGACCTGGCAACCAACTAGTAAACATGACATGAGAGTGGGCGAGGGCGCCCCTTGCGGCCCAGAAGGAGTTTAACTTCTTAACTTTAAAGAAGAAAAATGGTGGAATTTTTTTTATTTTTTATTTGGTCCAAAAAAAGAAGCAATAACAAAAGAATGACATTATTGGACAGAAGGTATTAACTAGGCTTTAACTAGGGTATAGGTAATATATACAAGGGTTTAAAATGAGCAGGGCCAACCCAAGACATCATGAACCTTAACTTCTACATACTGTAGTAACTTCCAGTCTGTTAGGGGGCGCTGATGATTTCTAACAGGGATTTTAAAAAACTCTTATTGCATATGTAAATTAGGAACCATCTTTCAAATGTTGATTTGAAGGTTTAAAGAGGCAGTATGGATTTACATTTGGAAGGACAGGTTCAAATAACTTTTGATTTTATAGTATTTTGTGGGTGATGTCATTGAAAATATAATTGTACTTTGAAACACAATTAAATTAACATCTGAAAAACAATTTTTATTACTAAAATTACAAAAAAAGAAACAAAAAATATTCCTAAGTTCTTGGTTCTATATGTATGTTAATTAGTTATTATTGAATCCAATAGTTTGTCGTTCATTAATAATTTCTGCAGTTTGTGTCTAAGCTGTCGTCACAATTAATAATTTTGCTCATTATCACAGGCAACTAAACTGTTTGCTCATTTCCAACTTCCCCCAATCTCTCAACAGAACTTATCTTCTTTTTTGTACATACAGACATGTCAACATGTAATGTGTTTTTAGAAGCATAATTTTTTGGAATCTAATTAAAATAAAATAAAGACAAGGAATGGTTGTTTAGAAAAAAGAATACATAATAATCCTTTATTTCATTTATTTTTTGTAGATTCAAAAATATATATAAAAAAAAAAATCATAACATATTTCTTTGTGCTATGGTTCTTCAAATAAATATATCAACTTCTTTTAAATTCTGAATAAGCTGGTTAGACCAAGGATCAAGGAAACCTAGAAATCAGTTTTGGCTTGGAAAATTTGGCTGGGTGCATCATACAATCTTTTGCACACTCCAAACCAAAGATAAAAAAAATCGAGACCGATTTTCTTCACTGATTGCGAAGTGTCCTGTCAAACCTGATTTCAAAACAGGGAAGATGCAATTTCCCCTAAACACTTTCCTCCCCATAAATCATCCTTACTGTCTGTGAGATTGACGTGGAAAACTAGGTTTCTGCAAAAAAAATAAAAAAAAAGAGAGACTCTGCACACATTTTTTATCTAATGTAATCGGCTGCAGCAGCTATACATCTGGCAAAAGGGCAATATCAATAAACAGTCCACACATACATCAGAAGGCTCCTAATTGTCTGCATGAAATATTGAAAGATTGATAGGAAGTGGTGAATCTAAAGAAGAAAAAAACACATGGAGGAGCTTTAACATTTAGCCTGAATGGGGTCTAATAGGCATGCTGAAGGATTGCTCCAACTTTTTATCATATCCAAAAATGAGAAACTTTTTCCTCAGACCAGTACCAAACCGGTCTGACCTTGTGGCTGATAATTGCCAGTGAGGTTTAGCATCACGGCTTTGTTCGATGTGTTGGGCCTGACAGTGTTTGCTTTTGATTGCAAAAGCAGTGGTTCCGGCATGTAGTTTCAATCAAGGATTAAGAGGCTGCAAAACAACAGAGATGTTCAAAGAGAGCCTATTACAGAGTAGAGAAATGGCCTCTGTCCAAAGGATTGGCTGTCTCAGTGAGCAGATGAACAGCAGTGTTTTAGGTTTTTTTTTTCTATTAGCACACATTTTGACCGTACCACATTTTAAAAATTAACAATATCTTGAAACAAATTAAATCCCATTAGAGTGCTGGAAAGCCGTTTGCCAGCACTTTAGAGGTTGAAGTGTTTTTTAAGATTGAAATTTATTTTCTTCTCTAAAAATACCCCCCTCACTGGTACAATCTCCTAGGTTAGTCTTAAAAAATATGAACCTTGAAAAGATGGAAAAGCATCCCCACTGTGGGAGCAAAGAGTATTGAAATTCAGAGGAACTATTTAAAAAAACAGTTTGAAGGCGGTAATAGTAGAAAACCGGAGGGAGAGACAGACATGGGGGAAAAGAAGATGAAAAATCATAAAAAGAGGTTGGAATTAACCATCATGGGCCATTTCATCCTTAGCTTTTTGACATACTTATCAGTTTTTGTAAATACATAACCTAAAATAAAATGTTCCACAAAAAAGCAGAATTGAATAGACATAAATGGGTTTTTACAAATATTTTTAGAAAAGAAAATGCATCCTGGACTATTAAATTATTATTTAAACAGGTCTGTTCTTCAGTTTGAATTTAATTTTCAATTTTTAGAAAATCCCAAAATTATAATCCAAATGATTTCATTTTAATACCAATATAAGTATAACGGTAAAAAAAAAAAAAAAAAGTTCCCTGTTTCAATAGGAACCTCTCCCTCTGTTTCTACCATCTATTGAAGTTGCCCCTGTGGAGAATGAGCCAATATGAGAAGAAGACAAGGGGGCAGATGGATTTCGGAGCACTGGATTATTCAAATGATAAAGAGGAAGGTCAGTGAGAGAAGACTTACAAAAAGTCTTAAAATCAAGCTGAATATCAGCAATTGCTACACAATTATTCCACATCTTAAAGTCAGGGCTTTGCTATATCTAAATAAAATTATTGCAGTTTAATAAAAGCGACTTTATGAGACAAAGTCTCATTTCTTTAGGAATGCTCTATTAACTTATAGCAAAAATGTTCTGCAAAATATGGCAGAACATTGAGATAATAGTGAGGTGAGGGCGTGTGGTCTGATTTTGATGTGAAATATATGAAAAAAAATCTAACATTTATTTCAAATGAAGCATAGGATGCATTTCCTATCATAGACACATCACGAGTTTTTTTTCTAATTTGCAAACTTACTGAAACTGCTGCTGGGCGCTAATGAGGCTCAACCTGCAGAAACTTTGCATCCAGATGTGCACATCAGCACACTTTCAAATCCAAAAATCCATACTTTTTTCATTAAATATATGCTTGCTGGAGGGGAGGGGGTGAAGTATCAAATAAAACGAAAACATACAAACTA